TTAGGATAGGAGCTGTGGGGGGTAGAGGTACGGGTTAAGATTAGGATAGGAGCTGTGGGGGGTAGAGGTACGGGTTAGGGTTAGGATAGGAGCTGTGGGGGGTAGAGGTACGGGTTAGGGTGAGGATAGGAGCTGTGGGGGGTAGAGGTACGGGTTAGGGTTAGGATAGGAGATGCTCTTTGAAGAGGGGGGTCTTCAAGAGTTTCTGAAGATAGACAGGGACCTGCTGGATACTACTACTGAAGGGACTGTTCAGGATGCCTAGCACTGGAGAAGATAGTTTCAGTTTAGGTGATATTTGGCTTGATAAACACAACAGAAAAACATGTCTGGGCCCAAACAACTGGATTCATTTGTCCACCAACAAGTCACATAACCAGGATGAGTATTTTAAAGTTGCCCGTCAAATGTTTGTTTTTTTGCTTTTTTAAAATCACTGAGTCAGCAAAACAAAAATAGTTTGTGCTGAATTTACAGTCCGACATTGATTTAGTGACAATTCCAGTTTAGGGGATATTTGGTTTGATAAAACAGAAAAACATGTTTGGGCCCAAAGAACTGGATTCATCTGTCCACCAACAAGTCACATAACCAGGACAAGTATTTTAAAGTTGCCCATCTTAACAAATGGGTATTTTTTTAAATCACAGAGTCAGCAAAACAAAAATAGTTTGTGCTGAATTTACAGTCCGACATTGATTTAGTAACAATTCTAGTTTAGGGGATATTTGGTTTGATAAACAACAGAAAAACATGTCTGAGCCCAAACAACTGGATTCATTTGTCCACCAACAAATCACATAACCAGGACGAGTATTTTAAAGTTGCCCATCTTAACAAATAGGTATTTCTTAAATCACTGAGTCAGCAAAACAAAAATAGTTTGTGCTGAATTTACAGCCCGACATTGATTTAGTGAGCTGAAAGGCGAGTTCGTGGAGGGCATCAATGAGCCAGCTGGCCCCCAACAACCAAAAAATGCTTGAGTCCATTAAGAGGAGGCTGGAGCTTTTCCAGTTTTACATTAGGAATCTGTGACTTTACCGCTACTTTTTACAGGAAATAAAAACATAAAACTTCACACAGACACTACATGCTAATATATACATCAATCCAGTGACTCAGGTAATTTCCTAGTAGCTAAACTTTTGCCTGACTAGTGTCAGTCGGCCAATCAGAGGCAGGCATGTGCTGGATGGGTTGTAACAGTGAACATGGGGCTCTGAGGGGATTATTCAGCTGCAGGCTGCATTCAAAGCTCTGTCCCACTTTGTTTCGGGCCCAGCTTAGAAATGAAGTTCCACTGGGACGGTCTGGACATGTAGAAAAAAATAAAATAAGGTGCCACAAATGGGGTCAGAACACATGAGGCATCTTTATAATCAGTGGATGAACCATCATGGTGTCAGACCTCATTGGAGAAATGCAAGACCTCTCTGTAGTTTTCTTTTAGAGTCCATGTAAGCAATAAAGAAAACAGGTTAAGAGCTTTCCGTTTGGCTGGTTTGGGAAAATGAAATTAGCTTAAACTGGCTAGTTTGGGCCTGACTGCTTAGTAAGATGCAGCAAAGCAAAACTGCCACATCATCCTCCCCGGTGTCACATCCAGAAAAACGGCCGCTAACCATCCAACTCATTTCCACATTGAGAGGATCAACATAAAAAGAAAAAGCCCTAAAGGTTTTGTAATCAGTTATGTACAAACAAACTGGGTCATGGGAACAAGCTCCCCCTCAAGCAGCCCGGTATCTTACAACCAGTTAGCTAGAAGTTCTGCTTTGAATTGTGATTAAAATCAGGTAAATACAGTGGGGGAAATAAGTATTTGACCCCTTGCTGATTTTGCTGGTTTGCCCACTCACAAAGAATGCAACGATCTATAACTTTAATCGTATGTACATTCTAACAGTGAAAGACAGAATCCCAAAGAAAATTCCATATCATATAAATTTATAAAAATTGATAACCATCTGATGAGGAAAAATAAACATTCTTTGTAAGTGGGCAAACGTGCAAAATCAAGAAGGGTTCAAATACTTATTTCCCCCACTGTATATACACACACAATTCCACATGGGATATAGATAAATATATATATATATATATGTCTAAAATAAGTAGTAGTGATAGGAGTAGGAGCCTTTTAGTTAGAGCTTAGACCAACAAGGACGTTTGCAAAAATGCAGTATTATTACATTTACTAGTAGGACTAACAGAGCAAAAAAGAAAGAATCCTAAAGAAATTTCCAGATAATCACATGAATTCATGAAAATTGATAACCATCTGATGAGGAAAAATAAGCATTCTTTGTAAGTGGGCAAACCTGCAAAATCAGCAAGGGGTCAAATACTTATTTCCCCCACTGTTGCTAGAAGTTCTACTTTGAATTGTGATTAAAACCAGGTAAATAAAAGGTAAAAAAACAACCAAAATAAGCGGTTTAGCACTCACTGGAGGGGGAGCTGGTCTGGACCTGGGACGGGGGGGTGTGCGTGTCCGTTTCCTGGCTGCTCCAGGGCCGGTCCCAGCCCGACAGGCGCAGGGACTGAAGGCCAAGGCCCAGGTCTGAAACATCCGTGGGGCCCCGGGACGAGGGCACCTCCTGGGGGCCGGGAATGATGCCTCCACACCCGGGGAAAAGCATCCTCCTGCTGCCCACCGCAGCCAGCTCCGACTCTGCACAACCCCAGGTCCCGATCCAGATCAGAGACACGTAGCAAGAGGGAAATAAAAAAAGACAAAAAATGGACAGGAGCATTAGCCGAAAACAAGCAGTCGGTGTCACACAGAAGAGGGCAGGCGGAGGTCTGCCAACTCGTTTTCTGAAAGGATAAAAACACTCAAACAAGCACAGCCTTCACCCCCACATCCACACGTCTCCCACCCACATCCATACTTCTACCCCCCAACATCTTTTTTGGGAAAAACAAAACAAAAAAGGACAGGAGCATTAGCCGGCCTAAAACAAGCAGTCGCATTCACACAGAAGAGGGCAGGCGGAGGTCTGCAGACACATGTTCTGAAAGGATAAAAAAAAAACTCTAGCAGTCTCCCACCCACATCCACACGTTTCCCCCCTGACTGAGCTTTTTTGGGAAAAACAAAACAACCAAAAGACAAACAGGAGCATTAGCCGGCTGAAAATAAGCAGTCGGCAACACACAGAAAAGGGCAGATGGAGGTCTGCAGACACGTTTTCTGAAAGGATAAAAAAAACACTCAAACAAGCACAGCCTTCCCCTCCCATCCCCACATCCACACGTTTCCCCCCCGACTGAGCTTTTTGGGGAAAAACCAAAAGACAAACAGGACCGTTAGCCGGCCGAAAACAAGCAGTCGGCAACACACAGAAGAGGGCAGAAGGAGGTCTGCCAACTCGTTTTCTGAAAGGATAAAAAACTCAAATAAGCACAGCCTCCCTCGCCCCAATCCCCACGTCTCCCACCCACATCCATACTTCTACCCCCCCAACATCTTTTTTGGGAAAAACAAAACAAAAAACAGACATGAGCATTAGCCAAAAACAAGCAGTCGCATTCACACAGAGGTCTGCCG